TGAAGTCCTCTGTGGCAAAGTCCATGTTTTTCAGTTTTTGCCCTTTCTTTTTCTATTTTTCTATTTTTGATGAGGAAAGGAGAGGAAGTTGCAGAATACAGCCAGATTATACTTATCAGGTAGCAGCAGTTACATCAGCAGCTCATCGGTAGCCTTTGCCACTTTCTAATAAATAATACTTACAAACTTATTATGCAGCCAGAATTTTGGTTGATTTGTTTAGTTAATAAGGTGAATTTTGCTGAGTCACTTCTGTTATTAACACTTACATTCACTGATACATGGTATTGTCACCAGGGTCTACCAAATCTTTTCATTGGATGAAGAAATTCCTCTGCTGGAACAGAATGCCTTCTCCTTGCTTAGAAAGACAGCATAGCCATTGTGTTAAAATTTGTAAACTGGAGCCTTTACCACAAAGAAGCTAGACAACGTTTTTCTTTTGAATTTCTGACTAATGAATTATCTTTCTCTAATTTTGCAGGTACTCTGAGTATGGAAGGGCCAGTTAGGAGACTGACGTTGAGACATTGCTACAGATAGCGAACAAGTGCATCCCATTCCCAATGACATCACTGTGGAGATGCAAAAGAGGAACACCAAATTGTAAGACTTGCTGCAGGTACAACAGGAACAAGGGATAAGAAACTGTGACGACTTAATGGCATGAGAAAAAATGAGGAAAGAAGGCACTTGTTAGAAGGGTAATGAATAATTTCCAGCATCTAAAGTTTCAGTCCATATACAGATTCTATAAAGACTAATGGTGAGGTGGTGAGGTCCCTGAGCAATAGCCTATATAGTATAGCACTGAACACATAAAAATTATGACAGTGCATTTATAGACTTTACTTTCACAGATTTCACTTCAGCTTTAGTTTGCACTTGGCATGCCAAACTGTGCTAGGTAGTTAAAAACCATTTTTTTGTTAGCCGACAGAAGGTTTGATAGCATTATTCTTAAACATTTTCTTTTATATGTTTCTAAAACTAACAAAGTTGTTAGTTTATTTAGACACTGGTTGTCCACTTAGTCATAAAGAAATGGCTGTTACGCAAGAATGTTTTAAAGAAGAGTAAAGCAACCAATCTGTAAGATCAGATACAGCAACATCCCATGCTTGCAAAAAAGTAAATACCAAGATTTATCTTTAATTTGACATGTAATTAAAAAAGGCAATCAACCCTTACCCCATGCAATCCCTACAATTAATCTAGCACTATACTACTGTACAGATCTATAGTCACCTAACCTAAAGCTTGTTAAAGAATAAGCATCGCAGGCCTCTATAAAGCCTTGTAACATATATGCATGGCATGTTCCAGAGCATTTTTCTAGCCAAAAAACCACCCTATATATTAGCAATAATTTGCTCCCTAAAATGGCCTCGTCTGAATACGTACAGTCTTTCTAGTTTTAGTCTTCCTAATTTCTTGTGAAAGGCATGGACGCTTCCCAGAAGTGCGAGTCAGCTCAAAACTCAAAACAACTCAGCAAAAGTTTACAGGATCCAAACCTTGTCAGAATCCTCACTTTCAGTTTCTCAAGTAATGGTGCAAAATGAAGTATGTCACAAACTTGTTTAAACTGTTTGTAGTATAAAAGGAAGTGTTGCCTTGCCTTCCAAATACGTGTTCTACTTCAGCAGTGGCTAAGGACATAGCTGATTTTTCTGTGCGGCCCCACATTGTCTGGGACTTGCTTCTAAAATAATGTCAGGAGAAGGTAAATGAGGTTTACCCAAGCGTGTTAACGACTTCTAACCCATTACAAGCAATGCCACTGGTTCTGAATAAGGTTCCAGTTTGTCTAGTGTCTCGTAAGTGCCTGCCACTGTTAAATAGTGTTTTCGACATAGGTATGAACAGATTCCTCAAGACATTCAGAATTAGAGTTATATTACTTCTGGTTAATGCAGGCATTAAATCTTTTGGGAAGACAAACTTTGGGCCCAACTTTTTTTTTTGTGGGAGTATTCCCTATGCTAGATTATGAAGGCAAGCCTTATGTGAGAAGAGACAGCCGTATCTGTTTGGGAATAATTAGCGTCCTGTGATGAGAGGAATGTAATTGTTTTGCATATAATAAATACATTAACTATTTAATGCTTTGAAGGACAACTGGGAAGAAGAAGAATGTAATCCTTCTGTTATGGTTATGTTTTCTTCATCATACACATCAGTCTGAACGTATCTGAAGCTAGATTCAGAGTTTCTACTTCATGTAAAAAAGTAGCTGTCAACCTGTTAAGCCGGCAGGTTTACTTGTTGCTGAAGTATTCTAGAACAGGTGAACCCGATCCCTTATATTTTACAGGGAACATTTTCATGAAGGGTAATACTAACTAGTTTTCTCATTCCAATTAATCTTTTATTTATATATTATAAGGATGTGAACCTTTATTCTCTACTGCCACAAAAAGAGAACGCACCAAACAAACCAAAATGCTGTGTAAGCAAAACGGTCCAGTGCCTGTGTTTTACGTCCCTCCCCTTGGAAGAGACAGATGTAAAGACCACCAAACATATGGTAGATGATGATAACATTACTCAGTCAGGGGTCAGGTGCAGCTACACTGCGATGACAGAGCTGCTCAGTCACATGGTTGCTACTGTATCATATGAGCAGGATCATGCCTGCCAAGCTAGCCTGCGCTACCCAGGGAGAGGGAGGTTGAGTGGGAAGGGACTGAAGTCTTTTAAAGCTCAACCTGCTGATAAATACACACTTTCGTCAATACATTGTGGCAAATTTTTAGATACTGTAGCAACAAGTGAGTTAGACTAGAATACCTTGCAAACCTTTTGTTATTAAAACCTGTTCAAAGTGTATAATACTAACAAATCAAAATAGGAGCCCTTGACCTGTGTTTTGCACTCACCCAGCAGGGGTGTGTATGACTAAATAAAACAGAAGACACTGGAAAAGCAGGCTTAGTGTGTATGTATCCATATTTTATCTCTTTGCACTCCTATCTCCTCCTTTTCATTTTGAATAATGACCAGGGCTAGGCTGAATCTAAATGGGAAATCCATGTTCCAAAGAAGCAATACAATATTATAATTTAAAAATCAGTTTGTTAGAGTTGGAAGCTGAAGGGGCATTAGACAGAAACAGCCTGGAGAGAGTCGGAGAGAGAGGTTGTCTTTAACACAAGTAAGGATTTGGGAACTTTCCTGCTAACGTCTATGTTCGATGCAGTCTCGCAGAAGTAGTCTTTAGAGACTAAACTTTTCCTCCAACAGCAGTCAGGTACTTCTAGCAATTTGTGCTGAATAGGGATTCAGCTATACAGACAGCTCAAGGTGTGCATGAGAGTTCAGACACAGCGTAAAGCTTGTGCAGGACTATTTCCTGTCAAAAAATCAGAGTAGCCTGTTTTCTCTGTTCCAGTGCTGTTAGCAGCTGCAAAGAGGTGAAAAATAACACAAACATTTCTACACTGGACATGAGTGTATCTCCAGTGGTGCAGATATACTGCCAGTCCACCTTTTTTACAGAGGGGTGTTACAGCCTCTTTTGCCTTAGGTACATTAATTTTAGTTTAGACCATCAAGGTACAAAATCATGCTTGCCAGTGTTGTAAAGAGACATTTGTGCTGTCTGGAGATTGTGTTTGGAGAACCATTATATTACAGTAGTCTTACACCACACAAGTATTTGTTGGGGAGATTTCCAACAAACCTGTACTCTTTATTTGTGCCCATAATAAAGTAATTAAAAATCAATTAATATGCAGAAAAATGAAGCAATATAAGGCATCAGTTCTGCATTAAGTAATATAAAATCTGTGCATGTTGGATTTCCTGGCAGTAAAAATTTGATCTGTATTGGCGTGAGCACATGTCTGCATTTTTATCGAATCAGCCAGAGCATATGTTACACTGCTTATTCAGATTTTATGCCAGCTTTCTGTCAGTTGAGGAGGATAAATTATGCCTGATCCAGCATAAAGTTAGAGTGGTACAAACAGACAATATCTCATCTGATAGGAACTCTCCCGGGACAAAATTATTTCTTCAAGCTATTTACTATCTCACAGAATGATAGCCTACCACCCTAATATGCTGTGAACCTTACGTAGTCCTTAGACAAATCTTTTTCAAGTCAGAGCACGTCTATATCTGATTAGCTGTAAACAGACTGACAATTTTTTCCTCGGAGGGAAAGAAGGGGAGCGTCACAAATTCAAATTATATTTTACACCTTAGGCAAATACAGAAATGTTTCAGAATGTGATTTGTATAGAAATCTCAAGTGTACTCATGTATAAATATAAATAATGAGATGGGAAAAAATGAATCGTAATGATAATTAGGAACATAAGCCTTGAAATTATGGGGTTAGGTTTGGGCCCATATAATGAAAGAAAAAGGATTTGATTTTGCGCTTCCCGCCATGTTTCTTCTTTTAAATATGCAGCTGCTGTGTTGTATTATGGATCCTTGGCATGTCATTCTGAAGATGAATTGTCATGACACTAGTTACTGGAGGTGAAGATGGTAAACAAGAACATTACAGTGTGAACCAGATGATTTTTGAGATTTCCTAAGTCGAAGGGCCAAATCCGTCAGTAGGTGTGTACAGGTTTTACTAACTTTGATACAAAATTGGCTGAGGTTATTTAAGATTTTGTTGGGATTTTGTTAATTGTCATTGAAATTCCATTAGAATTTCTGAATTTACTTTTGTCACTGCAGTATTGTCTGTCTTTGGCCAGGGATTGTAACCGACTGCAATTCAACATTCAATGACAGTACTGCTTAATATTGTTCAGGCAGCCCTGGCTACTCATTTCTGCACCTGCACTGCAGTCTTTACTAGGCTAGCACGGCAATTTTTTTGGGTGCATAGTGGACTAGCCTATGGCACTCTTTTAACTGAAGAATAGCAGGGATTATGAAAGCTGGCACTGCCACTAAATTTTTTTTTCCTCCAAACTACATAGTGTATGAAAACAAATGGAGCTGGGAACTTACAGCAGACCTAGCAAAAGGGCATGGCGGTGTGGGATAAACTGAAAGAAGGATTATTCCTGACAAACTCAAGGTAAGACCATACCTGTACTTCCATTCCAGGGAATAAGTTAAAGCAGAAAAAAGTATCCTGAAGTAGATGCAGTCATATAAATACCGAAATACTTTTCAAAAGTACAGCATGTACTGGGGGCTGTAAGTCAGCTTTGTTCTGGTATGACTACGTCTGTACCAATTGTGCTGGTATAATAATGTTAATAAAAATGTTCTAACTGACAGAGTTATGCTAATAAAACTTTTACAGGTATAAGACCCCTAAAAACTGGAATAACCAATAAATAGCATACCCATCTAATGTAAACATTACACACCCCAAATTCAGCGAGAATTCTTGTTATGCAGATCTTAGTTAAGAGTTTGTAGAGCTGCAATTCTACTAAGCTAACACTTTGGGAGAATGCAGAAGTTCCTTTTTAGAAGTTGAAGAGTGGTTCCATTTCTCTTGATACATTTTGGTGAACTTCCCAAAATCATTCTTGGTACGGCTGAAGCTCTTTAACATTCTTCTACTACTATTTCTTCTAACACTACCACCTCTTAAAAGCTTATGTTTGTTCTCAGAGTGGGGCCAGATTGTACTGAGACATTGGTATTTTTAATACAGTTTCCTGTGGAGGAATAACCTAGACTCTTGGCAGCATACCACTATTCAATTCATACAAAGCACTCACATAATTTACTCTAGACACAGGCTTGGGCTCATGACCGTTCCGATGTAATCTGTACTAGCAGTGCTATTTTAACTGTAATCACATTACATTATGTGCAAGTACTAAATGTATACAAGAAGAGAAGAGAACTTAAAACATGCTTTGGGGTTGAATTTTGCAAAAACTGATGCTTTGTAAAACCTCATCAATAGAAAACTCTTCCAAGAGAAGGTTGATTAAATATACTAAATTAAGCTCTGATGATACATAGCAGCTTGCTACATATGTAGATACTTAATCCAAAATGTGATTTGTGTCTTTGACTTCCACCTGCAAGAGAAACAACAGCCATCCTATGTGTGATTACAGTGCATCTGGGACTGAATGGGTGCAGCTACTCAGCAGCAGACGTTACAGAGGCATTCTCTTAGATAGATAGGCTCTTTTGGATGCTCAGAGACTCAGGAGTGACCACAAATCCTAAAGCAAAGAAACTACTGAAGTCTACTGATTATGGTTGGCCCAGGTACTACAAGGAGGGTCTGGTCTCCTTGAATGATAGGGCCAGTTAATTTGTGGTAAACCAGGTGGGAACGAGAGTGATGTGAAAAAAATATGTATGTGATTTCTCCTGATGCAATTTCTTATAAAATAATGGCAAATTTGTGTAAAACCTTTAACTATTAATATCATCATTCATTTCATCTTATACTGTTACTTTGTTATAATACTCATGTAACTGTACCCACATAGGAAATTCTTTTTATATTCCCCCAACTGCCGTGCACATGGCTTCCACACTTGTCTAAACAACCTGCTTTTGCTTGACACTCTGAAGTCACAGTGATTGGATTAAATGTTAAAATGTGAGTTTACAGCCAGGTTTACTATCTCTATGTATGCACACCCTAGGATTCAGCGTTTTGCTCTAGCTCTCCTTTGTGCTTCCCATAAGTGCTGTGCTGAGGTCCTAAGTCTTGCTCTATGGAAGAGGCAAAAGTATGGGAAAGACTAGAATTCAAACTTTTTGAGGGAACTTGTGAATTGAGCTGGGTCACAGGCAGGCTTTGTGCAACATCACATTAGAGCAAAAGACATGAAGATATCCAAAAAGAAGAGAACTGATACTTGCCAGGCCTTTATCAGAATTCAAACTAAATAGGATATTTTTAAAAGACTTTGACAACTTACTCTTCCATTTTGGACATGGGCAATGTGGATGAGAATAGTTAGTGTGGTGTGACTGAGGAATGCTTGTATAACCATGCCTCCAAGGGATCTTTGGTACACAGAAACTTGATCCCTCAGGTATGGACGTAGTCCTGTGTTCCTCCTCCTTCCTGCTCACCTTCCTCCCAACATCCCTGTTGCTGTCGGGTCTGCTGTCAAAGAAATACTCTGGCTGTAAGCTGCACTGTAGAAGAGTTTGTTAAGACGCGTTGCTCTTATTGTAAGACACTGGTGTAAATATGATGTTGTGTGCCCAGAGTATTTATTTTCATTCCTGTACTTTGGTGCTCTTAACATGTCATGTGGATAGGTTTTGTGATGTGGATTAGCTTTTGTGAATGCTGCTTACCTCTGTTTAAGTTACTGTCATCCTTACATGCTCCAAGTGACAGTTTCTTTCCCAGTAATAAGCCAGGAAACCACAAACTTTTTTCCCTCTTTCCTTCAAAGTTCCCTCTTCATCCCTCTAGGCAACTGCCCATTCTTAACACGTGCTTAAAATGATGGTGGCTTCAAGTGATGACCTGTAAGAGCCAGCTCATTTGCTGGTAGTTTCTGCAGTGAACTAGCCACCATTCTTTATGCTCCCATGCCAATCATGTCAGCCCCCAGAGAACATGCCCTATCATCAAAACATGTATGAGTAAGAATGTTTTGATCACACAAGAAATAACTCATCATTATACAGTAATGTCTATAAAACCATACCAATGCATTTTTTTAATCAGTAAGAAAGAGCCTAATTAGCCTTTTTTAGATATTAATCTTTTTTTAAAAAAACCCTTACATTGCACTAGTAAGGCAAAATGCACAGAAACATTTTACACAACACAATTTATAATTATATACAATTATTATAATTGTTATGCTGTTAACTCCCAGTGTGCTTAAATCTCATTGCACAGCAATGATAATGGCACACCTAACTTAGGAGTTGCCCACAGATGATAGTAAAAGAAATTCCCCAAAACAAAAAATGCTTGGAAAGGCTCTAATGCAAGGCAAAACTACTTGCTGATTTCCTGAGTAGGTCTCTGAGGCTTTCCAGCCTTACAGAAAATGAGTATAATAATGTTCTTGTAAATAAGGATTTTTTTTTTCTTTTTGGCAACATAAATCAAGGCCTTATACCTATCCCAAGGCTTTAACCCTCTAAACAATTCCTGAATTGCACTTAGTTATGGCCTTGTTTTCCCTATATCAAGGCTTCACATGTGCTCTGGACTGTTATAAGCAGTATTAAGAAAGAGTGAGAACACGCCCTGTGCCACAAACAAGCCCCCATTTCCCTCACTGCTCTGATGCAACTACTAACAGTATCAGAGCTATGGACATTTCCTTAATTTCCAAAGCATATGAAATAAGAGATGGGAAAAGACAACGATCTCCACAATCTGGAAAGAGACTCAAAAACCAAAATCAACACCTTCTTTGCTACTATAAAAACTGAAAATTGAACAGTAACTCTTCACCTTTCAGGTTTTAATTCTAGGCTCTGGGTTCCTCAAAACCACCTGTATTATCTAGTGCTTACATGGCAAACTTAAGTGGGGAATTAAAATTTTTTAAAAAAAGGAAATTTTTTGGTGACCTTATGAAATACTTTAAGAAAGGAGAAGGCCGAGAGAGAAAGAAAGAAGAGCTTGGGGAAACAGATAAGTGATAAAAGGATAGTCTAAGGGTTTGCTTTGATTGCTGTTTGGAATTAATCCTGAGCGTTACCCAGTTTAAACCAGGTTGCCTTTTGTGCTTAAAGCTCATCCGAGTCATGCACATGGTGCTCCTTCGTCACAGAATCACAGAATAATTTAGTTTGAAGGGGTCCCAAAGGTCACTTGGTCCAACCTTGGTTCAGAGCAGGGCTGTATGAGATCAGGTTGATCAAGGCCTTGTCCTGCTGAGTTCTGAATATCTCCAAGAATGGAGAGTCAATAGACCTCCTTGGACAATGTGCTTCAGTGTTTGACTACCCTCATTATGAATTTTTTTTTTCACAATATCTGTTCTATCCATCCTACAATCTGTCTATCCTACCATCTGATCCGTGACCAGGACCATATTAGGAAGTAATTTTGTCTCTTCTTCAGAATCTGCTGCTCTTGTCTCTTCTTCCAGTCTTGGACTCTGATGTTAGGGGAGCACAAAGGGCAGGATATCGTGAGTTGGGACACCATAGAGTTAGTTTGGGAAGCCTTCTAGTTCTTACAGCCAAAGAGGATTTTGTGCAGTGTTTTGGACATGGTCATAGGATAGAATCATCGAATCATAGAATCATTTAGGTTGGAAAAAACCCTTAAGATCATCAAGTCCAAACGTTAACCCAGCACTGCCAAGTCCGCCACTAAACCATGTCCCTAAGCCCCACGTCTACCCGCCTTTTAAATACCTCCAGGGATGGGGACTCAACCCTGGGCAGCCTGGTCCAGTGCTTCACCTTTTGGTGAAGAAATTTTTCCTAATATCCAATCTAAATCTGCCCTGGTGCAACTTGAGGCTGGTTCCTCTTGTCCTATCACTTGTTACTTGGCAGAAGAGACTGACACCCATCTCGCTACAGCCTCCTTTTGGGTAGCTGTAGAGAGCAATAAGGTCTTCCCTCAGCCTCCTTTTCTCCAGGCTAAACAACCCCCTTCACCAGCTTCCTTGCCTTTCTTTGGACACGCTCCAGCACCTCGATGTCCTTCTTGTAGTGAGGGGCCCAAAACTGAGCACAGTACTCAAGGTGCGGCCTCACCAGTGCCAAATACAGGGGGACACGATCACTTCCCTAGTCCTGCTGGCCACACTATTCCTGATACAAGCCAGGATGCTATTGGCCTTCTTGGCCACCTGGGCACACTGCCGGCTCATATTCAGTTGGCTGTCGACCAGCACCCCCAGGTCCTTTTCTGCTGGGCAGCTCTCCAGCCACTCCTCCCCCAGCCTGTAGTGTTACATGGGGTTGTTGTGCCCCAAGTGCAGGACCCAGCACTGAGCCTTGTTGAACCTCATACAGTTGGCCTCGGCCCATTGATCCAGCCTGGCCAGGTCCCTCTGTAGGGCCTTCCTGCCCTCAGGCAGATCAACACTCCCGCCCAACTTGATGTTGTCTGCAAACTCGGTGTACTCAATCCCCTCGTCCAGATCATTGATAAAGATATTGA